ACAACAGCATCAAAATTAATAGTTAGGAATAAATATAACAGAAGAAGTATCAAATGATCATACATTGAAAAATATTGTTGAGATATTACATAATATCTACATAAGTGGAAGATAGATACTGTGTTCTTGGATTGGAGGACTCAGTATTGTTAAAATGGAATTTCTCCCCAAACAGAGCTACAGATTCAACACAATCCAGGAAGTTTTTTATAGAAATTAACAAGAACGGGCACCTGGGTGGCTCAGTTGGTTAAGCGACTGCCTTCGGCTCAGGTCATGATCCTGGAGTCCCGGGATCGAGTCCCACATCAGGCTTCCTGCTCAGCAGGGAGTCAGCTTCTCCCTCTGTCCCTCTGACCCCTCTTCCCTCTTGTGCTTTCTATCTCTCGTTCTCTCTCTCTCTCAAATAAATAAATTAAAAAATCTTAAAAAAAAAAAAGAAATTAACAAGAATGGCCATAGTAGATAACTGTTTGAAGCTGGGTTATGGGTACTTCACAGTTCATTATGATATTCTCTTCATTTTTGTATGTTTGAAATTATCCACAATAAAGTGGGGTTTTTTTGTTAAGAAAAAAGTACTGGAGGAAAGAAAAAATTAACAACTAATGAGGAACAATCAGAATTCCAAGCACTGCCTTAATATTCCTTGTTCTTCATCCTCTGCCTTCATCACTTAGCTACAGGTTCCTCCTTGCTCAGAGTCCACGCTCTGTGCACATGGCTAATGCATGGGTACATACAAAGGGAAAACTAAGAGAGCAAACACACAGGCTGACAAAGGGAGCCTAAGTGAAAGATCATACGCATTTGCTACAGCCATTCCTGTGGCTTAATCCATCGCCAGGCTTAAATTTTTGGCAGCTAACGGCAACTCCACAACTGCACATGTCAATCTCTAATGATCCACGTGCCAGACTGGAAGCTACCAGAGAACTGTTACAAAATGCTCCTCTATTGTTATGACAATTGCACAGTAATTTACTTGGATCTGAGCTAAGTACAAATTAGTGGTACCCTAAGATCAAAGCATCCAGATCTTCAAAGTTGCCATCTTCACTGCCCAACCCCATCCTGTCTGGAACACCTGCACATTCCTTTCACTTTCTATTCCCAAGTGCACAGTATAAAGCCCTGGCCAAGAGGGAAAGCAAAGCCGATTTTAGTTTCCGTCCAAATATTTGGTGCTTTCCAATTTTACACCTTCCTTCCCTAATGGAATAATACGTTACACTTATAAAGCATCATTCATCTCCTCTTAGGATCCTTACCAAACCACCATGACATACGTAGGGCAGGTGTTAAAGCTGAAATAATGGCAGAAGTCCAATGTCACATAGCAGCATCCAGCCTCCCTCCAGTCCATGACTTTAACAAATGGGATGTGCATTCCACTTCCTGTGCTGCCTCTCAAAGCATGGGGGTCACTTGCCAGCAACAGATGAAGAGGCCCTATTCTAGGAATGAGTTAGAATTTGCCTGAATCGTCTGTGATGGGCAAGTGGAGAGTTCCACCTACACCTCATCATGGAACCCAAAAAATAACTTACAAAAACATACAATCCTCAAGTTTTAAGAAGTATTAAATAGTTCTAACATAGAATACTCCATAGCACACTTGGTTTTCTCATTTTGACCTACAACTATAAACGTCCTTCTACTCGTTGACTATGTTTAATTTTCTCTCTCTTCTCCCTAGTCTAGAGCAATAATTTTACTTTTTAATGAGACAGATCATATGTCCAACATTTCCATGAGATCCATGAAAAAGGCAAATATCACTCTTTAGAATAATAAATAATTCATATCAAAACACTTAGCTATAAAAGATTCCCACTTGTAAGAGGAATCAGAATTTCAAAAATGCCCAGTGAAACATAATCTTGTCCATCCCAGCTTTCTCATTTACATATAATTAAAAGAAAGGACTTACTTTTCCATAAATTTCAATTTTCTTTAGATGCAGCAAAGATTCTTTATTACATCAAAGCAAATGCAACTTTACTATTCAATTTCCTTATCTTCTATACAATTAAACTGCAAATCATCATCTGAGACAGAATTAGACAACTTGCTGACGCTCAGCTCTTATGAAAAAGAGTTTTAAGAACTGAAATGATGGCTTCAAAACCATTAGAATAATGGATGTCGGGGGGCGCCTGGGTGGCTCAGTCGTTAAGCGTCTGCCTTCGGCTCAGGTCATGAGCCCAGGGTCCTGGGATCGAGCCCCGCATCAGGCTCCATGCTCCACAGGAAGCCTGCTTCTCCCTCTCTCACTCCCACTGCTTGTGTTCCCTCTCTCACTGTGTCTCTCTCTGTCAAATAAATAAATAATATCTTTAAAAAAAAAAAAAGAATAATGGATGTCAGGGAGGGGATGAGAAAAAAAAATTCATTCCAAGTTAGAAACATGAGCTCCTGCTCAAAGTGCAGGGTTGTTGTTGTTTTTAATGGATTTAAGAAACAGACTGAAATAATATTTATAACCAACATTATTTTACAAGTATAGTAAAATACTAATTTTTAAAATCCTTCTTCTTGTACTCTGGCTATTTTTGTGTTGGCCAAGCAAGTCACTTCCCCTCTCCAGGCTTCTAACAATGAACATATTCTGACAGCATTATACACACCACAACTCCACTACAGACCAAAATGGTTCTGGGTCAAATCCAAGACTTCTGGTTCAAATTAGGATAGTTATCAAATTAAGATAGTCTGGCTCAACTGAGTCATCCTACACAGGCAGCTGAGTCCATTTCAAGGTTAATTGCCTGCTGTGGGGTAACCCTGAACATCCCGGATGGCTGCATTTTATGGTCTGCCCTAAACAGAACTGGACCCCCAGAGGACTTCCAAAATCAACACAGCTTCCAGGTGGCCTTCAAGAGCAGGTTAAGTTATAGCCGGAACTGATCAAGAGGACAGGGTCTCTATCACCAGCAAGTGAGATGTCATCCCCCTAGACACACGCCCCCACTGTGAGCTAAGTATGCAAACATTTACTTTGTCAATTTGTATATCATCACTGAGTCAGCAGAATCAAATCTCTGAACCTGCTTTTTCTGGTGGCTGAACTAACTCTACAGTTGCACTTTTGGTGAAAAATCGATTCTCCAGTTAAATAGGCTAGAAGGGGGAAAGGTAACAGAAATATTTTTTTCTTCTTTCACTTTTGGGATTTGAGTGGCTTTAAGGGTTTTTCTATTTGTGGGGAAAACAAAGTCTTTCAATATTATGATTTATAATTTAAGCAGCTTAAGGAATTAAAAAACTGCAGGGGCGCCTGGGTGGCTCAATCAGTTAAGCATCCGACTCTTGATATCACCTCAGGTCTTGATCTTAAGGTTTTGAGTTTAAGTCCCACATTGGGCTCCATGCTGGGCGTGGAGCCTACTTTGAAAAAAAAAGAAAAAATGTATAGAATGTGATACTCTCACACCAAGACAAGTTCACAGCCAATCTGCACCCAGTACACTGTCAGAGTTAACTTACATTCACTTTTCCTCACTTTCGTGCTTTTAACACACATTCCCACCAATTAGGATAACTGAGATAATGCTTCTTTTTAATTAATAGTTTCTTTTTGTTAATAAAAGTTAACACCTATATGTTAAAAAAAGTATAAAAGAAAAAACTAGAAGTTCCTCTAATCCCACCTTAATGACAACCACTATTTATAGATTTATGTACACCCTTTAATGCATATGCCATCAGCTCTATGTACACAGACTCTTAAAACATATCTTTTGATGGAAAGTGAAATCATGTTTCACCTATAGTACAGTCACTTGCTTTTTTCAATTAACAATTAGTGATGGCTACTTTGCACACATTGATACACACAGATCTACCCCCTCCTTACAAATATTGAGAAGTATTCCACTATGTGGACAGACTAACTGTAATCTACACTTGATAGATATTCAAGTAATTTCCAGTTTCCTGATATTACAAGTAAGAAGGTAACCAAGATCCTCCTAAATACATCTTTGCACACATTTACAAGTATTTCCATAGGGTAAATTCCTAAAAGTGGAATGGCTTGGTCAAATGGTGTGACATGTAAAATTCTGACAGATATGGTCAAATGCCCTCCAAATAGGTTTTTTAATTTATACTCCCAAACACCAGTAGTATCTCAGACCACCTGGTTTCCCTGTCCCCCACCACCACCAATCTTTGTCACCTTTGCAAATGAAAGAGATTAAAAGTCATCATGCTCATTTCAATTTGTCCTTTTAATTACTAGGGACGTTGTGCATTTAGCTTTCCATGTTACCAGATCTGTGATCCTGGGAAGGTGTTTAATCTGTCCATGCCTCAGTTTCCTTGTTTTTCAAATGGGGATAAGAGTAATGTCTTCCTCCTGGGGGGACTGTGAAGATCGAATGAGATAAGGCAGCTAGGACACTTAGCACAGAGCCTGGCACACAGTAGGAATTGAACAACAAAGATTTGTTGAACAATGGGGCAAATATAATATTCTATCAGGCAGACTTCCCAGAGTGACCTCAGCGATTACCACTGCTGGTAATTCGAGCACTGTTCAATGTTTGCTATTATCAACTGCACTACATTCTTTGAGTAAATCGCTCTTTTGTCTCTTTAGGACTATTTTCTAAGGCTATTCTCCAAGGATTTGAAAAGTGTTACAGTTCTTCCTTCTATTCTTGAGAAAAAATTAACTAGCAACAATATGCCACCTATCAAGTTTTATGAACTGAAAAAAAAACAATTTCTTTTACAAGCAGTAACTAAAAAATTGAGTATTATATATTTATAAATAAACACACATATTTCTTATATGTGACTTTTCTTCTACCAGTAAAAAATAAGATATGAATAAAAGTTTAAAATATTATCTTATAAATCTCATACACTGTCTGAGCTTAACCAAATTTCTTAAAACTAACCAAGAAGTTATTTTAAGAAAGCTAGAAAGAGCATCATCCCATATTAATAAAAATTAAAGCCAAAAAAAGCTACAAAATCACAACTCTTCCTGAACCCAACAAAGAACTAAGGCCACAAAGGCAACCAAGTAGCCTGAAGTCCTAGATAACTCCCACATTAGGAGAGAAGAGACACATGCACTGTCCCAATAGTGGTATAGCCCACAAGAAAGACATGCCTACTAATCTAGTGGAACAGGTGGGCAACATGGATGAAAAGATTTAAAGTTAGAGCAGAGAGACAGAAAAGCTAAGACAGAATCTTAAATGGAAATGATAGACACATAAAACACAGTATCACAGATAGTAAGTACCAGAGACAGATTCACCAAGCTGATGTAAGAATCAACAAAGGTGCAAATAGTTAAAAGAATCCCAGAAGAAAGAAAGAATGGGAAGGTAGAAATATCTGAATACATAATGGCCAAGGATTTTTCAAAGCATAACGAAAGACATCGAGCTACATACCCAAGGGTTGGTAGAGGACCCCAAACAAGATAAATACCAAAATCACATCACATTCAAATTGCCGAAAACTAAAAATAAGGAGAAAACCTTAAAAACTGCTGGGGTAGAGGCAGGAATCGGGGAGACACATTACCTTCAGCGCAACAAAGAGGGGAATTATGGCAGACACTGCATCAGAAACAACGCACGTTAGAAGACGATGGTGCAACATCTTTAAAATACTGAAGGAAAAAGATTCAATGCAAAAGTCTATGCCCTGAAAAATGTCTTTTAAAAACAAGTATGAAATTAAGACTTTTTCAAACAAAAGCTGAGAGGATTCATTCCCAGAAGATCCACACCATAAGAAATATTAAAGGAAGTTGTTCAGTCAAAAGATAATGTGAGAGGGGTGCCTCGGTGGCTCAGTCATTAAGTGTCTGCCTTCAGCTCAGGTCATGATCTCAAGGTCCTGGAATCGAGCCCCACATCGGGCTCCCTGCTCAGCAGGGAGTCTGCTTCTCCCTCTCCCTCTGCTTGTGTTCCCTCTCTCGCTGTCTCTCTCTCTCTGTCAAATAAACAAATAAAAATCTTAAAAAAAAAAGATAATGTGGGAGAGCAGGGGAAGCACACTGGACAGTCGCAAGTGGGGTTGGGGTGGGGCAGCATATGCCAGGTGCTTCAGACCCCCTGGGGGTCAAGGTTCAGAGTTTGCAGGTTTGAGGCCTGGCCTCAGATGTGGAATCAGAAGCTCAGAGAGGTGAAGTGACCTCCCTAAGGCCACAAAGGTAAATGGCTGCAACTGAATTGGAAACCTGGAGTGTCCAGTTCCAGATCAGTGCCAGGTAAAGTTCTGAGAAACAATAGAAGAGGGAAAAGTTAACAGGCCACTGGAGCTACCAAGTGTTCAGAAGTAGAACACTACAGAAAGGGAAGAGGAAAGTAAGGGCCAGGCCCCATGGGGCCAACAGACAGCTGAATCCACACTGTTGCTGAGTTTGTTCTGTGTGCTGCTGATGGTGGAGACAGCATCTCCATGGCCAGGGTCCCATGTACAGGGGCCCACATAAGCCCCCAGTCTTCAGCCTCGGGTGTGACCCAGACTCCCATGGTAGATGTGAGCATCCAGTGTATAGCTCAGGGGCATTAGTCAGTGCAGCTATCACCACCATGCACCTCAGAATTGTCTTCCTTTTGAAGGCTAAATAATATTTCACTGTATGGGGCGCCCGGGTGGCCCCCAAGTAGCACAGTCAGTTAAGCATCCGACTCTTAATTTCAACTCAGGTCATGAGCTCAGGGTCATGAGATCAAGCCTCACGTCAGGTTCCATACTGGGCATGGAGCCTGCTTAAGATTCTCTCCCTCTGCCCCTCCCCCCAGCTTGCGTGCACATGCAAGCTCTAAAAAAAATCCACTCTATGGATATGCCACAACTTGTTTATCCATTTATCCATCAGGGACACTTGGGTTGCTTCCAAACCTTTTGGCTATTGTGAACAGTGCTGCTAAGACTGTGGGTGTGCAAATATACCTGACACCTGGCTTTCCATTCTTTGTGGCATATACCTAGACGTGGATTTACTGGATCATATGGTAATTCTATTTTTTTCGAGTTTTACTGAAATAGAATTGACATCCAGCACTGGAAAAGTTTAAGGTGTAGAGCACAGTGACTAAACTTACATACCCTGTGAAATGACAACCAAAATAAGCTTAGTTAATACCCATCATCACATATAGATCAAAAAGAAAGAAAGAAAAGATAATGTGAGGAAGAAACCTAGATCTACACAAGAAACTAAGAGGTCCTGAAATGATTTAAAAAGAAGAAAGTACAAAACAAATTAAAATAAACTTTAAAACTCTGTTCATCAGTTACAACCAGCTACCTTTCAGGTACTCAGTAGTCCCATGTGGCTGGCGGCTACCATGTTGTACCTCACAGATACAAGTATTTCTGGAGCTGCATAAAGTTCAATTGGACAACACCCTCTAAAAGGTAATTTAGTGTCTAAAGCAAAAATAACAATGTATTATGGGATTTATAACATGTAAAATACAATATTATGACAACAATAGCATTAAGCATTCTTACAAGGTTCTTCTACAATAGATTAAGTAGTAGAATATTTGAAAGCAGACTATGATAAACGAAAGATGTATATTGTAAGCTTTGGACAATCCCTGAAATGGGTTAGAAAAGTAGATACAACTAATAAATTACTAGAGGATACAAAAATGAAATCATAAAAAAAATATACTTGGGGTTCCTGGGTGGTACAGTTGGTTAAGCATCTTAACTCTTGGTTCCGGCTCAGGTCATGATCTCATGGGTTGTGGATCAAGCCCTATATTGGGCTCCTCACTTAGCAGGGAGACTGCTTCTCTCTCTCCCTCTGTCCCTCCCCTTCATGCTCACTCTCTCTCTTTCTTTAAAATAAATAAATCTTTAAAAAAGAAAGTTAAAAAAATAAAAAATAAAACACTCAATCCAGAAAGAAAAAGAAACAACACATAGGGCCAGGCATAACATCTGTTCCCAAGAGCCAGACTATATAGCTAAAAAAAGGCTGAATTTTAGCGTATGTATGTAAATTATGCCTCAGTAAACCAGTTTTGTTTTTAATCAGAGAAAAAAAATAACGAAGGAGTCTCTGTTCCGATAAAAGGACACCATTTGGCACGACAACAGAGGTATAAGACTTAATACTTACTTCACTATTACATATAGAATTATTTTGTATTTGAAAAGTATGGGCTGCCTCATGGACAGCAAAATTTCCATGAAGTGTGCAAATACAGGTAGCCCTTGCTGGTGATCACAGTTTATAAGCAGTAAACCTAGGATTCAATTTAAGCCCAGATTCATCTAACCCCAAAGTCCACCCTAAATCCACTCTACTAAATCCAAAGGATTCTGTATTTGATGTTTATGAACTGAGTCACAATTGCACTTCAAGAGTCGGCTCTTGATAAAACAGGGTAGGGGTCTTACATGATTATTTGCCCTGATACTAGCATTGGGAATGCCTATGTGATTAGCACTTTGCCAAACACAATGCATCTGGTGCGCTGGTCATCCTAATGGGGCACCCAGCTGTCAGTTGATCAAACAAGACATGAGATTGGGAACAGACCAGTCCATGTAGGCACACGTGGGTGATTGTCGTCAGACCTTCCCTGGTTGCTGGACAACTGATGTCCCAGACACAGAGGGAGGCACCCTCCGCACCAGAAGTGGGCACTGATCCCCAGCCTCCTGCCTCCTCCCTCTTGTCCAACAACATGAGAAGAAAATGTACCATCAGACTGACTACAAAGAGTCAGGATTAAAAATGACAGAGGGGAGGCACCTGGGTGGTTCAGTCAGTTAAGCATCTGCCTTCGGCTCAGGTCATGATCCCGGAGTCCCAGGATTGAGCCCCACATCGGGCTCCCTGCTCAGTGAAGAGTCTGCTTCTCTCTCTGCCCTTCACCCCACTTGTGCTCTCTCTTGCTCTCGCTCTCTCTCAAATAAAATCTTTAAAAAAAATGACAGAGGAAACAGAAACTAAATATTTCTTTGTATGAAAAATCTAAAAGGTTATTTTGAAATTAACAAAAACTAAAGCAAAACCATTACTTTTAAAAGTCACTTTATGCAGAATATTGACAAACTGAGTCAAAAGATCTCACCTCCAATACTGAGAAGCATGCAACACAGGCACATATTTTTATTATTATTTATGTAGTTTAAAAAAAAACAGAAGTCGATAATATTTTGAGTATTGTTAATGCTTGACTTTTACCCTGTTCTTTTAATCCCTAAATTAATATTTTAAGGCCCAGAAGATTATGAACTTATGATAGAAGTGACGAAGAAAAGGAAACTGGATGTATTTACAAAGCACTTTATTGAAAGCATGAACCCCATGAACCTAAGTACTGAATACCTACGAAGCACTATTCACTGGGGATACAGCCACATTGTCAACTGTGTCTCAGGAGCTTACAGTCCAGTTAAGGGAAGAGACAACTCCAACAACCTGCCAAAGCAACAGGAACTAAATACAGGTTTAGACTTCGTCCTGAGTGAACACAGAGGTAGGGATAATGCACTCTGTCTGGGGCTTAGGAAACCTTCACCAAGGAAAAGATATTAGAGCTGGTTCTCAGAAGGTGAGCAGGGGCTCAATGCACATAAATACTTGGCTAATGAGAGAGCCTGCCCTATTGAGAAGGAATACAGATGGGTTTTTAGAGAAAGTGACCAATTCTAGAGTCTGGAAAAGTTGGCTCAGTCCCATCATCCTGAAATGCATCAGTGTTAATTCATTTCAGTGACAGATACCCAGTTAGTGAGGAGAAAAGTACGGCACAAAAGCACTAATTGACGACAAATCAAATGCAGAACAGAATTAGAGCCCAGTCCCTCGGGTTCACACATGGTTGTTCGTCTATGACAGCTCTGCTAGAAAAGCTAATCAGAGCTAAGAAGAGAAATTCAAAAGTCAACCCACAATTTATAGTGGCAAATCTATAAACCTATCAACTTAAAAATTCAACAGGAGATGGAGACTGCACCTTTTCTGGTAAAGGACAAGAGTTCCATTGTTACCTCCCATTCTGTTGGCTGACATCACCTGTCAGGTCACACAGAGGATGAGTGACATCCCCTGCAGATGAGCAATGCTCCAGCTTTCACCTCCGGGGTCTAATTGGACATGGTGCTAATCAGCAAGAGGTGAGGCACACTGGAGATTTAAGAAGAAAGTACCTCACATGGTTACAAAAAATGAGAAGTGCCCTTGATCAGCAGTTATGGCCGCCACAGGCCCTCAGTCCATTTGATGGCTATGCAACGCATTGACCAATCAAGGAGACATCTATTCATAACACCCCAAAGAGATCCAAATGACAGCAATAAATTCAGAATGAGTCTGCTTTCTATATATGCTTTCCATGGCCTGCAAGCAGACAATTGGATTTCAACTGGATTACTGGGTATAAAATGGGACCAAAATTTAGGACTTATTCAGGGGAGTCATAGTTTTGTTCAAACTTACTTACATGGGAAATGGCCCAAAATCATGAATGTACAGTGTAGCACAGACTCATTCTATTCTAGAAAAACAGCACCGAGGACAATTCCTGGTGATACCTGAGTACAGGGGGGAAAACATTCTCAAGGGTAGTTTTTGTTTCTGGTCTGCATATGAAGTCTTTTGGCTATGGAGACATCAAATGCCCTTCCCCAAACTCCTTTAGAAATTAAATGGCTGGTTTAGCAGCAATGAGCACTTAAGAAATAAGACATCAGGGGTGCCTGAGTAGCTCAGTCGTTAAGCATCTGCCTTCGGCTCAGGTCATGATCCCAAGGTCCTGGGATTGAGCCCCACATCAGGCTCACTGCTCCAAGGGAAGCCTGCTTCTCCCTCTCCCTCTCCCACTCCCCCTGCTTGTGTTCCCTCTCTTGTTGTGTCTCTCTGTGTCAAATAAATAAATCTTAAAAAAAAAAAAAAGAAGACATCATTTCCTTCTTTATGATTATTTCCTGCACTTTACATCACCCTTTCTTTTCTTAGGGAGAGAAAATGCACACATACACACAAACACACACACACAGGCCACAGTCGTAGGTTACTGTAACTCTAAGCAGAGAAAAGGCCTATTTTTGCCCTTCACACTTCAGTTCAGTGAGAAGAAGTGAGATATAAAGACTGAAAAGGAAAGGATTTAAAATTTATATGATTTTCTACCAAAAAAATCTACGACTATCTGACTTTTAAAAATCAGAACCAAGGGGCGCCTGGGTGGCTCAGTTGTTAAGCGTCTGCCTTCGGCTCAGGTCATGATCCCAGGGTCCTGGGATCGAGCCCCACATCGGGCTCCCTGCTCAGTGGGAAGCCTGCTTCTCCCTCTCCCACTCCCACTGCTTGCGTTCCCTCTCTTGCTGTGTCTTTCTCTGTCAAATAAATAAATAAAACCTTTAAAAAAAAAAATCAGAACCAAAAAGCATTCAATAAAGTAGCCAGTCACACAGAAAAATATTTTCAGCTGTATAGTTTCATATAAAGTTAAACACATACTCACCATACAACCCAGTAATTCAACTCCTATGCATTTAACCAGCAGAAATGAAAATATATGTCCATAAAAGACCTTGTGAATGTTCATAGCAGCTTTATTCATCATAGCCAAGAACTGGAAACAACCCAAACATCCATTCCCTGATGAGAGGATTTTTTACCCATGGTGAGATATCCATATAAAGGAATACTATTGGGCACGTGGGTGGCTCAGTTGGTTAGGCGACTGCCTTCAGCTCAGGTCATGATCCTGGAGTCCCTGGATCGAGTACCGAGTCAGGCTCCCTGCTCGGCAGGGTATCTGCTTCGCCCTCTGGCCCTCCCCCCTCTCATGTGCTCTCTCTCTCTCTTATTCTCTCTCTCAAATAAATAAAATCTTTAAAAAATAAATAAAAATAAAGGAATACTATTTAGCAATAAAAAGGGATAAGCTACTGATACATGCAACAACATGAATGAATCTCAAAAGCATTATTTTATTTGGAAGAAACAAATCACCAAAGGCCACAAGCTGTGTGAGTCTATTGCTATGGCATTCTGAAAAAGGCAGAACTACAGTGACAGAAAGTGAATCCATGGTCACCATGAGCTGGGAACGGGGGCAGGACTGCCTGCAATGGGGCACAAGGGAACTTCTGGGGTGAAAATAATGCGCTGTCTATCAAGTATAGTAGTGATTATGCAACTGTAAATATTTGTTAAATTCACTGAACTGTGCACTTAAAATGGGTGGGGTTTCACTGTTACAGAAATTATAAAAAATGGGCAACTTTCCTATACACCAACAGTAGCTGCCTACAGAATACAATGAAAAAAAGATCCCATTCATAATAGCAATGAAAAACAATAAAATTTAAGAATATATTTAAGAGGGACGCCTGGGTGGCTCAATCAGTTAAGTATCTGCCTTTGGCTCAGGTCATGATCCCGGGGTCCTGGGATTGAGCCCTGTGTCAGGCTCCCAGCTCAGCAGGGGGCCTGCTTCTCCCTCTCCCTCTGCCTCTGCCAGCCGCTCCCCCTGCTTGTGTGCTCGTGCACTTGCTCTCTCTCTGATAAACAAATAAATAAAATCTTTAAAAAAATTTTAATAAATATGTAAGACCTCATGAAAAACTACAAAACTTTACTGAGCAACATACGAGGGCCTTGTATAAACGGAGATATATATACCAGCTTGCTGGACGACCCAAAATTGTATAGATGTCAAAATCATCTGTAACCTAAAAGAAACTGAATCAAAATACCAAAGGGAGTTTGTGAGAAAACAGCAAGTCAAGCTTTGATCTGGAAAAATAAACGTATAAAAACAAAGACAAAATTAGCCTAATTTTTCAAATTAATAAGGGAAAGACAACAGCCATCCATCGATACACAGCCAACTCATAAAAGAAGAAACAATGACAGCAACATACATGAAAAAAGGGTCTGGCCTGTCTCGTAATTCCTGTGAGCAAAGACAATTCCCAAGAAGAACGTCTGTCACATTGCCATAATCAAACTGTATGATGCCGCCCAATTTGAGGGATGTCTAGGAAATTTACATCCTAGTATCATGATATACAGTAGTACAAAACTGGAAACAGTCTAAATTTCCAACATACACCCCTATAACAAAACATTACAATCATTTAAAATGATGATGATATAGAGGTATATACAAATGAACAGTGGAAAGATGTTCATGATCTATTAGGTGAAGAAGGAGCTTATAAAACACTATGTTTAAAAGGACAACACTGTGATTAGAGATCATTATTGATATGTATGTCTGCATTGAAAAAGTCTAACAGCCTCGTATCAAAACATCCCAGGGGCTTATCTCTGGGTGGAAAGAGGGTTTTTTTGTTTTTGTTTTTGTTTTGTTTTGTATTCCTTTTGCTCATCTGTCTTTTCTGAAAGTGAGATCACGTATTTCACTTCTGTAATAAAAAATAAAAATAAAGTGCCCACTCACCTTGTCATCTGTTTAAATGTAAGTCTTCAAGGGCGCCTGGGTGGCTCAGTCGGTTAAGCGACTGCCTTCGGCTCAGGTCATGATCCTGGAGTCCTGGGATCGAGTCCTGCATCGGGCTCCCTGCTCAGCGGGGAGTGTGCTTCTCCCTCTGACCCTCCCCCCTCTCATGTGCTCTCTCTCTCTCTCATTCTCGCTCTCTCAAATAAATAAATAAAAATCTTTTTTTAAAAAAAATAAATAAATGTAAGTCTTCAAAAGGCACACATTCCCGGGGCACCTGAGTGGCCTCAGTCTGTTAAGTGTCCAACTCTTGATTTCAGCTCAATCATGATCTCAGGGTTGTGAGATCAAGCCCAGAGTCGGGCTCTGGGCCAGGCATGACGTCTGCTTGGGACCCTCTCTCTTCCTCTCCCTCTGTCCCTTCCCCCTGTCTCAAAGAAGTAAATAAATCTTTTTTTTTTTTTAAAGGCACACATTCCTTAAAGGGGCAATATTTACAAGGGGGAAAAAATCCTGGAACAATCTAAAAGGTCAGAAAGGAAATGCTTAAACAAATGATGGTCATTCATTCCAAGGAATATTACATTCTCCTTATAAATAAAAATATGTGAAATATGGAAATGCACAGAAAATCAACAGAAAATGAAAACACAACTTGACTGACATCAATTTTAACCAAGAAAAAATAACTGTCTATCCCTAAGAATATGAAGTTATAATCCTAAAAAGAGAGGTCAATTAAGGCATCAGGTTTCATATAATTATTTGCTTTTACCTTTTCATTACTTATTCATATAAAATTACTTTAACAGAGGCAATAAAAAATACACACTTTCCAGAACCACTCAGCATTCTATAGATCTCTAACATTACTGCCCAAAAACATTCAACATACAAATGGCCCATAGTTAGCAATCTGTTCCCCTCCTGTCTTCTCTAAACTCCTACTTACAAGTTTGTTTTTTCAATAACCTGTTCTAAAAAGAAGAAAATTTCAGGTGGAAATGTCTATACTGCACGGAAATGAAGCAAAAAGTTTCCTTCATCTCTTCCTGTGTGTGCTTTTCTCTATTTTCTGGTTAAGGAAAACATTTTTCAAGTGCATAAAAACAAGAAACTAAAATTAGACATGAACTGAACCTTGACTCATGGTAGGGAAAACATTATTTTTAAGCTGAGAAATATTTATAGGCCTGTGCTTTATGGAAAAGGAAGACAGGCGTGCTAATGTATGTCGATGGAACAGCCTAGAGTAGGGATAGGAGACTTGAGAAGAGAAAATACTTTCACTGCATGTTTATATTCCAGGAACCGCGGGCACTTCACATATTTTCTCTCATGGAATATGAATTAGGACCAATAATTACAGAGTATTTGAGGACTCTATTCACTTAACATTAAAGAAAGTGTTGTAAACAGCTCACACCAGACCATGAAACTGTCCCTCCTCCTCCCACTGCCGTCCAGAGAACCAGGGATGCTCCCCAACCCCGCAAGAGTGGCTCTGCTCTAGACACTCCATCATCCCTGCAGGACAGCCAGCACTATTCAGAGCTCCACACGAAAGTTATAAGGTTTTTTAAAAAGACACAGAAGTGAAATCTAAGACACTTAACAGGTGATATTCAGAAATAAATCCTTAAAACTTGTTAAAACCACATTCATTTTGACATTCATAAAGCACCATCAAAAACCTTCAAGAGTGCTTTACCACCCACCACATCAAGTCTAAATGTCTTCTTTTCATTCACTCACACCCACGAGGTCAACACGGGAGCACCTGCAGTGAGTCCCCAGTCCAGCGGGGGAGGAGGGTGGTTGTGTCTGCAGGGGTGGGTAGGTAAGAGCTAATGGGAAGGAGGAAGGGGTGCAACTCATTCCACTTGGGAAGCTGAGTAGAGGGAAGGGCTGCAGAGCAGCGCTGCTCTTTGAGCAAACTCAAGTGGTAGATGTGTGGATTCTAGGGGGGAAGAACCACTATGCAAGGGTGAGGGACGGGGACCATCTCAGAGAACTGGGAAGAGAAATGCAAAGGTTGAATGGATTGCATGATCCAATTTCACAAGTTTCTCCTAAGAACAAGCACCTAATTCTTCATTTTAAAAACACTGCATGTTTTAACTAAAGTTACAGCTTTAATGCTTTGCCTCCCTAAGGACCATTGCCTTCTTCATGCCCACGCCCCCATCCTTCCTATATCAGAAGCCTGATTCTCTTCGGGGGATCTTCCTTCCACTTGTTCAGGAAGGAGACCCCCCTGCCCTCCACCTGGTACCAGTGGATGGAGCTGGGTAAGTCCAGGCTGCTGGGGCCTCACTCCCCTTGCCAGTGACGGGTGAGGACATGGCCCATGATACATAAAATAAGACACGCATGAGAGGAAAAGGCACTCTTCTTCGCTAGATGTCATTGTGTCCCCTGGAATGGCTGCAGCACCTTGTGCCATGAGGGAAGGCATCTCCCACACAGCAAGAATGGCAGAGAGCAAAGG